CCTCCCTCCCTCCCTCCCCCTATCTTCTTCATGGATCTGGGATTATACACAGAAACTCCTCCCTGCCACTTTTGTATCCCTGGGCTACATCTAAGACTATAAAAACCCAATGGGTGGAGACAAGATGCCAAGATGGTTTCTGCTTTCCTGGGGTATTAATTTGTCATCATCTCAGATTGCCTGCTCTCTGATGAAAGTACACCGTGAAGTTCGATTCCTGTCTCTGCTCAGTGGTGCCAGCAGCACGGGCTCCCTTATTCTGGTTTTACATCCCCAACCTTTTACTTATTCTTACTATCATAAGGATGGAGGACAGTCTTTGTCTCAGCTCTGAGCTGCCCACCTCTGGGTCACGGTGATAGTTGTTTCCTTATTTTCTACAGAAAAGAGAAAGTATTTCCTTCATTTCCTGAGTTTTCTGGACAGTTAACAAGTCAGAGACTTTCAGAAAGTTTCCATGAGGCAGAGATAGATCCCTTAATAGGTCTCCTGGCACCCATTTCTCCTTTGTCTTTAAAAGTCAGGAAGCCAGTATAGGTAGAATTTTGTGATTTTGCGTTGACAATGTTAGAATGTCACCCACGTGGCTTTCCTAATTTCACAGACTGAAGACAGCCAGCCTCTGCCTGTCCCCTGCACCCTCACTACACTCTGCACACTCCCCAGGGCAAGCATTCATATCCTGTGGACCTAGTAAAAGGTAACTTGATCCCAAAATGCACTTCGTGTAGAGCACAGGCCTTGTCCTTTGACTTGCAAACCCATTTTAGTCTCCACTTCCATCATTTGTTTTTCATTGTTTCTGATAAGTTTCTGTAAACAAGGTGATGTCACCCTCTGGTCCACTAAAAGCAAGCCTCTTGATTTTGAAAGAGTTGCCTTCAAGTAAAAAAGCAGACAGGTGGGAGCCTGCTGTTGGTAGGACATTGTCCTTATGAAGGTTACCCCAGGATGCTTAATTACCCCAGGGTAGCTTGAAAGGCCATTTGAACTACCCTGTCATATCCAGACACTCATGTGTCAGGAGCCTGGGCAAGGTCCAGAATCAGGGATCCGCACAGATGAGGGTCTAGCTTTGGACTTCTAGTTTCCTGTGAGAGTGTTCCAGGCTCTTGTGTGGACAGCATCCTGTTGTCCCTTGACAGCGAGCTTCTTTGAACACATGCTCTCCCACTCCATCACCCCCCACCTGTGAGCTCTTTGCTCCTTTGCACTGTGCTGGTTCTGATATCTGACTGTTGCCCATGGCTGTGACTCCCCTCAGATTTCTGACTCTGTGTCTGGTTCTTGAATTTGGATTCATAAACACGGCCAATACATTGGTTAATGATTGATGACCAGGAGGGCAGGGTTCCCAAATCTCCTGAAGAAAAATACAGAGACCGTTTACTCTTCTGTTTGTCCCTGCCATGGGGTTGTTTCCAGGTCACCAACTGTTCCTGTCACTGGAGTCTGTGTGAACAATTGGTAGCTGTGTAACCAACTGGCAGAGTGTCCTTTCTTCAAGGATACGTGCTAGATTAAGGTTTCAAATTGGGGTCGCGTCTTTTTCTCCTTAAGCCTCCCAGAATGACAGATTCCCACAGTCTGAGTATGAAAACCTAGCTCTGCCAAGCAAAGGAAGAACATCCTTGTCCTTTAACTATCTGGCCAGTCTCCAGGGAAAGTGCCAGTTTCCGGAGCATCCAGCAGGTGGCGATGGCGGCAGTTGCTAAGAGGGTTTGGAGCAGCAGAACAGATTTTGCTTTTAGGGTGCACAGGACAAAATCTTGGGGCAGAGGCTGCTGAGGATCTTAATCCCTCCTCTCTAGGAGAGGGAGTGGTTCTCTTGCCTTCTGGGTCGGGATCTGTAGGCCTGGTTAGACAAGGGGAGAAGGGGAGTGCCGACCTGGGATTGGTGCAGAGTAGGGCGGGACCGCTGCTTTTCCTTCCTCCGTCTCCCTGGGAGTCTGCTTAAAGTCACAGATTGTCCAAAGACCCAAGTCTACCTTACTGAAGACAGTTTGAGAAGGCTACCACCAGCACCATGCCTATGCTCCTGGGATACTGGAATATCCGCGGTGTAAGAGAGAGGATTGGGATGTTAAGCAGGAAGTTCATAACAGCGAGGTCTTTCTAGCAGAGCAGTCCTCCTC